CGAATAGCTGCTTGGCCTGGTTATTTGATATGTTGCATGGTTGTGCTTGTCCTGTGATCAAAGGAGAGCGTCTTACTTAGGTCCGAGTTGATTACAAGAAAAATAATTATTTGCCCCCGTCTGGAGCTAAATAAGATTGGTACTGAAGATCTTGTTCGCTGGCAGAGCTGCTTAAGTCTGTTTTAATTTTGATAACAGGAGTGTATTGGAATGGGACCAAATGATACAAAGAAGTGATGTCTTACTCAGGTCTAGGTTGGTTCTGGAAAAAAAAAATATTTACCACCCACCTGGAGTTGAGTTAGACTAATGCTGGAAGTGTAGCCCTGAAAGAATTATCCAAGTCTGGTTCAATACTGTTTGCATGCAGCAGTACTAAAGTGTTGATATTTTTGTACTTAAAGAATTCTGTGCTTTAAAAAAAATGAATATTTGAAAAAACTTGTTAGTCAGATTTTCCCAAGCAATTCCTATTGGCTATGTTCCATTTTGGTTGCCAAATATAATTCCACAAAGCAATTCCACTTAGCATGTTTGAGTGCAGACCAAAACCAAATTCTGTTCGGTCGTTCCGAAACTAATTCCATTTGGTAAAAACCAAAGTCAAATCCGTTTGGTAAACACCAAAGCTAATTTCATTTGGTAAACACCAAAGCTAATTCCATTTGGTAAGTACCAAAGCTAAGTCCATTTGGTAAACACCAAAGTTAAGTTCGTTTGGTAAACACCAAAGCTAATCACTTTTGTGTTGCCTCGCCAAGGCTTTGATTATAAAGATAAGTAATAATCTGCTCAGGCCATAAAGCCGGTACAAGTGCTGGAAACAAAAGTTCAAAGAAGTAGGAAGACATTCTCATTAATCAAAAGATAAATACCTTTACACTTAATGGATAATTTTGGGGGTTAATCTATTGATAGTACTTCTTGAGGTTTGCTACATTCTAAGGCCGAGGTATGGCCTTGCCCTTGAGATCCTTCAAGTAGTATGCTCCATTCCTAGCAGCGACTGTAACCTTGTAAGGACCTTCTCAGTTAGGTCCTAACTTTCCTTCACCAGGCACCATTTTTCTCAAAACCAACTCTCCAAGTGTGAATTGTCTTGGGAGAACTTTTTTGTCGAAACTCTTGATAAGTTGCTGTTGATAAGCTACATGTCTGAATAGTGCCGTTTCTCTTTGGCCTTCTGTCATGTCTAGTGCATGTGCAATAGCTTCCTCATTATTTGCCTCTTCAAACAATTCGACCAGATGGTTAGGAGCCCAACTTCTAAAGGAATAACAACCTTCATTCCGTAGGTCAAGGAGTAGGGTGTTTCCCCTGTTGAGCGCTGCACCGTGGTTCGGTAGGTCCACAACACATGGGGTAACTCTTCAACCCACTCCCCCATTACACTTTCAAGCCATTTTTTTACTTCATTAATGACGATTTTGTTGGATGATTCTGCCTGCCCATTGCTCTGTGGGTAGCTCGGAGAGGAATTTCGATATTCGATCTTGAGATTAGTACAGTATAAAACTTTTTGAAAATCTTTTCGTCAAACTGCGTTCCATTGTCTGCAATCAGTACCCGTGGGATACCAAAACGGACTACAACATTCCTTATAACAAACCGCTTTGTGTCTGCTTCTTTGATACTTAGCAGTGCTTCAACTTCCACATACTTGGTGAAGTAGTCGGTTGCAACGATGAAGAATTGTCTATTCTAATCCCACGTGCCAAAGGTCCAACAATGTCCAAGCCTCACTGAGCGAAAGGCCAGTGGAGCAAACCTCTAACACTTATCACACTTCTCAATGTAATGCTATGTGTCGTGTTGCATCTGTGGCCACCAGTACCCATGAGTGAGGGCACGGAGCGCCAGTGACCTTCCACCAATATGGCTTCCACAAATCCCATCGTGAATTTCATAGAGAACATTCTCGACTAAAGTTGGGTGCACACGTAGCAGATTAAGGGCCAAGATAGGAGTGTCGGTATAATTTCCCAGATGGTGAAATCCAAAATTGGGTTGATCTATGTCGAATTTTATTAGCCTCTTTCTTGTCCTCGCAGAGGGTGCCAGATCTTAGAAAAACAAGTATTGGATCCATCCAGCTTGGTTCCAGGTTAGTGCAGAGGACTGGATCTGGAGATACAATGCTCGGTTCTGGCACAAACTTAACCCAAACTTTTCTAGCATCTTGGGTATCTATTGAAAAGCCAAGGTAGGCGAGAGCGTCAGCATGACTGTTTCTATCCCTACTGATCTATTCCACTCGTATGGATTGGAATTTCTTAGCAAATCTCTTGCTTTGTTTGCATATATAGCCATTCTTTCATCTCTTGCTTCATAGACCCTAGTGAGTTAGTTAACGACCAACTAAGAATCACTAAAAACCAGGAGTTGATCTGCACTGAAGTGCTCGGCACTGTGCAACCCAGCCAGTAGTGCTTCATATTCTGCCTTGTTATTAGAGGCCTTCCACCCAAGCTTCAGAGCTTGCTCTTAGATGAATCCTTTTGGAGATATGAGTACTACCCCTGTCCCCGAGCCTCGGTTATTGGATGACATCAATGTAGAGCTGCTAGATATCACAAATAAAGAGTTTCCATGCTTCTGAAGCACATTGTTTTCCTAGTTCGGTGGTGCGCAGCACCTGTACTGAGCTGGAGTTCTGATGTTCGGCGCTCTGGGCAAGGGAAAATTTGGCAACAAAATCCGTCAATACCTGGGCCTTGATTGCTTTTCTGGGCTGATACTAAATGTCAAACTCACCTAACTCTACCGCTAATTTCGCTGCTCGGCCCGAGAAATCGGCTCGGCCAAAGGCAGATCTGAGGGGGAACTCAGTAAGGACATTGATGGTATGCCCTTGAAAGTAGTGTTGTAGTTTTCTTAAGGAAATGAGTAGGGCATAAGCCAACTTTTCCAATGGAAAATACCACGTTTCGGCATCCAAGAGAGTCTTATTGACATAGTAAACCAGCCTCTGTTCTTTTTCCACTTCACGAATCAGTACAATGCTTACCGTATGGTCTGAGACTGCCAGATACAAGTATAATTCTTTCCCGATTTCTGGAGTAGAAAAGAGAGGTGGTGTACTGAGATACTTCTTGAGGTCTTGCAGCACCTCGGTACACTCAGGTCCCTATTCGAACGCAGCCTTTTTCCTTAGAAGTTGAAAAAAAGGTTTCATTTGGTCTGAAGACCAGCTAATGAATCGGTTAAATGTTGCTGCCATTCCAGCCAATTTCTGAAGTTCCTTGGCCTTCTTATGTATCTTTATGTCTTGTATCACCTAGATTTGGTCCGAATTTGCTTTAATTCCTCTACGAGTGACCATGTACCCCAAGAACTCCCTTGTTCTCACCTCGAAAGCATATTTCGAGGCATTGAGGCGAAGTTGATGGGTTTTAAGGATGCTAAAAACTTTCCTTAGTTCAGTGAGGTGGTCTGCCGCAAGCTTACTTTTAACCACCAAGTCGTCGATATATGCTTCCATAGTCCGACCGAGCTGACCTTTGAACATCCGAGTTATCATCCGCTGGTAAGTTGCCTCGGTATTTTTAAGGCCGAATGGCATCACTTTATAGTAGTAAGTGCCTCTCAGGGTGATAAATACTGTCTTTTCTTGATCTGGGCCAAACAGAGGTAGCTGGTGATAACCGTTGTAAGCATCCAAAAAGCTCATTCACTCATGCCTGGCTGTTGAATCCACAAGCTGATCTATGCGAGGCAAGGGAAAGTTGTCCTTCAGACAAGCTTTGTTAAGACAAGTGAAATCGACACAGACTCTCCATTTGCCATTCTTCTTTTTTACTACGACTGTATTGGATAACCACTGTGAGTACTGAACCTCCTGAATTGCTCATGCTACTAAGAGCTTATCTACTTCTGTAATCACCGCTTTAGTATGCTCAACCAAAGATCTTCTGCTCTTTTGCATGATGAGTCGAGCTGCAGGATTGACATTGAGCTGATGGCAAACAAATTCCAAATCCAACCCAAGAGTATTATATGTGGACCATGTAAATACCTCCATATTTTCCCTCAACAAATCCAGCAACTGAAGTTTCTCATCAGCGCGTAGTGAGGTACCAATAAGAAAGTACTTCTTTGGGTCGCTCTCTTTCACCAAAACTTTCTCCAGATCCTCCACTATCTTCTCAATTGGGATTCTTCTGATATCTTCTAAGACAAGCTGTTTTGTTATTTCAACCGTCTGAACCCAACTGCAGAGCTGTTTGCTCTTCATGGCTGTTATGAAAGAATGCTTTGATGCAACTTGGTCTCCCGAGATCTGCTCCATTTCGTGCTCAGTCGAAAGCGGATAAGCTGATGGTAGGTTGATGAGACTACTTTCATTTCATGAATCCATGGCCCACCAAGGATGGCGTTGTAAGGAGATAGAGTGTTTATAACTAAGAATTCTATTTGTAAAGTCTTTGTCCCAGCTATTACGGGTAATACTATCATGCCAAGTGGCCACTCAGGTTGAGGATTGAAGCCAACCAATGGTGCTGTTGCTGGGGTGAGATGCTGCTCAAAGAAACTAAGCTTCCTGAATAAATCATAATACAGTATGTCTGAGGCACTACCTTGGTCGACCAGGACTCGTTTCACGTCAAATCGTTTTTTAATTCCCACAGTTATAATTAAAGCATCAATATGTGGATATTGAATATCTTCTAAATCTTTCTTAGAAATGAAACAGTACACAAGGGAGACTTAGGTGCTGTTCTCACCTTTTTTGATACTAGACCAACTGACATCACTTGCTGAATCTGTACAGCTTTGGCGATTTCCTCCTGGAGTGTCTCTTCTCGTTCGTGATCGGCTATGCCATAGATGACATTGATAACCAATCGAGGTGAATGCTCTGCATTTGGTTCTAGTGGGGGATTTCCCTGTTCGGTTACCACTTTGTCTGGATAGATGTATTCTCGGAGGTGCCCAGCAACTACCAATTTCTCTAGGTGTTGTTTTAGTGCTCTGCAATTCTGAGTCATGTGTCCCCGGTCCTAATGGTAAATGCATCTGAGCTTTTGGTTGTGCCGAGCTGGGTCTTCTAGCATCTTTGGCGGCCAAGTAAAGAATGATTCTCTCTTGATTTTCTTCATAATACAATAGATAGATTCCTTGAAGAGTGTGACAACTGCATCACAAGATTTAGATTTGTCCACCTCATTTACTATGACTCCTTGGGGCTCTCCTCGGTCTATTTTTGGTCGGTTTTCCCAACTTGGCTGTTCGGCCGAAGACACTTCGATGGGGATTTGGTCATCTTCGAGACGAGCGTACTGCTCAATCCTGGCATGTAAATCCTTTAGTGCTGTAGCTGGGTGCTTGGTAAGTGATTGTCTCAACTTACTTTCCGGCTGTAGACCATGCTTAAAAGACATCACTGCCATCTGCTCGCTGCAGATATTTTTCTCTAAGTCATTATAATCTTCCCAATACCTCCTTGCATAATTATGCAGTGTTTCCTTCTGTTCCTTTCGGAGACCGAACAAGGTGTCCGGCTCCTTAGCGATTTTGGTGTTAGACATAAATTTGGCCAGGAATTCTTCAGAGAGCCATTTCCAATCGTAGATTGATCCAGCAGGGAGACAATTGAACCATGGGAGTCCAAACTCTCCCAGACTGGATGGGAAGACCTTGCACATCAGTGCCTCATCCCGGTTCTACAAAGACATCATCTGCCGATAATGGCGGATGTGCATGAGTGGATTTGATTTCCTGTCATATGGTGTAAATTTTGGTGGAGTAAACTTCTTGGGGATCCTCATAGCTTCAATGTCTGGGAAGAAAAGAGAAGACACGAGCCGATCTAATGCTTGGTGTTCTCTCTAATGAACAGTACGATCAAGATACTGAGCTTGACACTCTCGTCGTTGCTTCAGGTTCAGAGATCCTGAGGAGGATACTCCGTCTGTTGGCTAGTCGTTTTCTACCTCTTAGCCTTCCTCCAGTGTGAACCACAGGTGTGGCTGTTCGTTACTTGACCTTGCACCGAAATTGGCTGACTTCGCTGCCTAGACTCGTTCCTTGGGACCTTCTTCACTGGTGGTTCCAAGGATGGACTTCTTCGGCGTAGGTGTGAGGGTTCTGTGTCGATCCTTATCTCCATCAGGTCGTCCATCATCTTTTTAAGCTATGCTTTCAGTTCATATATCTCCATGCCTATGGAGTCAATGATACAATCTCTGTAAACTTTCTCCAACAAAAAATGGTGAAAAGAACCACCAGCAAAGGGCTGCCGATGCTTCACAAATTCTGGAGTCTAGTTGTTGTTTCTAGTCTGCTCCTCCAAAACTATTGGCAGTGCCATGCCCTTATCCTTCGTCTTCTTCGTCAGTGGAGTCAATATCGAGGGTGGAATATCCTCAATTCTCATCGTTGGGATTAGAGGCAGAACTCAGAGATTAAGGGTCCACGCTCATTGCACCAATTGTGCGTACCAAATATCGCACTAGATGATTGTGGATCGAAGCTCCGCACCTGATTGGACTATCCAGGAACTAAGGCCCTGCAACAGAGAGCACCGTCAGAGCTGCCTGGCCGGGGTTGGCCGGATAACCCCTTTAGTGTGGAAGTAAGTAGATAGAAAAGATGGGGGACTCTCTCTAGGTGTAGAGAGAAGGAATGTATAATGAATTCGGTTGCGTTTAAGTGAGTATAGTTTAACTCAACTTAGTTGCCTTCAAAATGAAGTGAATAGAGTTTATATAGAACACTTTACTTGTTGCCTAAGATGGTTTCATGAAGTTTTGGTGCTGCCAGGCTCCCTTTAACATTGCTCAAAGTAAGGGACCATCAAGTAGTTGAAAATGAATGCATATACTCATTGTAACCATGCTTATAACATATCATATTCCCTTGATCAATTGTTTCCGTGATTCTAAGGGGAAAGGACCAGCTGGGGTGGTAGCCTGTACATGCATGCTTTCATAGCTTTCACGTTTCTCTGAGAGGTTCCTTCAGCTCGGTACCGTTGTGCCACGGCTCGGCCTTCCACAAGACTGCTCATAGAGATGGGTTGGCCCATTTAGATATCTTTGTGGGCTCGACCCACTTTGGTTTCTGATGATGGGTTCAACCCATCAGTTCGGTCCAAAGATTAAGCCCTGTAGCTCGACCCAGCCCAACATCGCGACTAGATTGGCCTTTCCACTGCGAGTTAGGCCTAAGTGCTTGAGGGCTTGAGTAGACTATGTGTTATGGAAATGGCCTTAGTTGGCTGGCCCACGCATATGTCTGACCCACTTGGACTTGGGTTTAGTGGATTGGACCAACCCAAGGCTTAGATCCAACCCGTTTATATTTAGCTCCTTCACTAAATATATATTTTTTATTTTTCAAATGAACTCAATCATTCTTGGCCTCTAAAATAAATCCTAACATATTGCCATTATTGAATTGAATATGTTAATTGTTTTGTTCATGCATAACCAGCGAAATGGCAACAATATTTGTCTGTTGCTTGGTCTTGATCTTGAAAAACTAGCGTGGTAATTTTTTTGCCAACAAACAAGAACTATAGGTTATACTAGCAGTTTGTCTATGTTTTGAATAACATTTGTATTTTTCTTAGTGTGTTTCTTTTTTCTGAAACTTCTCACTATTTTTAGATTATAAAATCCAGTTGGATTTTCTAATTAGAGGGTGTTATTGCGCTTCCGTGGACTCACAGAGTCCGTATTGATAATCTGAACTATTCACTATGTAAGGCTCATTGAGTATTTCATTTTTATAAAAAAAATCACATTGATTGGATATTAATAAATACTTTATCAGATCACATTTGTGTCATCAGTTTATTTTAAAAATCATATTTGTTGTTAACACAAATGTGATATGATTTGATCAAGATGATTTTTTATAGGAACAAAGTACTCGACGAGTTTTACATATTGATCTGTTCAGATCGTTAATATGGGATCTGTGATAGGTCTATAAAAATCTAACAATACCCTCTAATCTAATTTGAAGCGAGAAGAACTTAGTCCATTATAAAATCAAATACAATGGATTTAATTATAAAAGAAGCACGAATTGAATCAGTTGTTATAATAATAGAGCGGCAATTACAATAGAGTTGGTTTGAAAAGTTGAAATATATTTTTTAGATAGAGATAATTGTAATAAAAAAAACAAAAATTATTTAAAATAAAGTAGGATTTCTATCCTGAAATTTGAGTAGAGTTTTTATTCAATTTAAATATGAATTAATAATTTTAAATTATAGTAATTTTGAATTATATAAAGGTCACCTAAGTCGCTAGGCTGTAGGAGTTCCTGTATAATAGGTTCTAGGACACTTTTTCTTTTAATTTTATTATTTTATGTTTTAAATAGGTACAATAAAATCATTATTACACATACACTAATTGTTTTAGCAGAGGTGCATCAGACCTTCAAAAAAATAGAGCACTAATCAGTTCTACTGAGCTGAATTTTTTTTTAAAAAAAAATTTAGCCATCAGATCAGCTCTTCTAATACTTCATATTTAGGCCTAGTTTAGAAAGACTAAATAAGTGTATTTTTTGATTTTTTATAAAATATGGTTGGATTTGGGTTGGGTTTGAAGTGATGTGTTAGAGAGGTGATGTGACTTAAATAAGATGATGTGACTTAAATAGGATAATGACTTTTTGACTTTTTGTCTTTTTTCAATCATGCTTAAGCCTAGTTTGGGAAGACTAAATGTACTTTTTGACTTTTTATGAAATATGATCGGGTTTGGGTTGGGTTTGAAGTGAAAAAGACAAAAAGTCACATCATGATTGAAAAAAGACAAAAAGTCAAAAAGTCACTATCCTATTTAAGTCACATCACCTCTCTAACACATCACTTCAAACCCAACCCAAACCGAACCATATTTCATAAAAAGTCAAAAAGTACACTTATTTAGTCTTCCCAAACTAGGCCTGAGTGCTCTTAAACCATTTCTAACGGTTCATCAAATTTGACATTAAATTTAAATTTTGATGAAAAAGTCACTGTTTTGTGCTCCAACGGTTCCACCAAATCGATATCAAAATGAGATTTTACCAAACGATTTATCAAACTGAGGAAAAAATACAGAATTCAGCAAAACACTGTGCGTGACCGTCGGAGGGAGGAACCGATCAACCAGCCGGTTGTCCGACCGGTTGACCAACCGGTCGACCGATTTCCTTTCAAATAGGTAGATTTAAACCGGTCAAAAAAAGTTCAAACAAGTAAAAAAATATATATATATATATATATATATATTTTGCCTAATCGGTTGACCGGCCGGTCAACCAACCGGTCAACCCACCAGCAAACTTACTAACTTAGGCTTCCTCTTTTCAATTTTCTTTACAGAAAGCATCTGACATTGTTTCATCAATTATTTCATCATTGAACCTACCTAATTGTTTCATCTTTGCAGAAAGCTGCAATTTGTTCATCATTGAAATATTCTAAAAAACATAGCGTTCAAACATAGCGTTTAAAGCTGATATAAAAAAAAATATTTACGCTTACCGGTCGACCCACCGGTTGATCCAATCGGAATTTGATGCACCATTGGAACTAGTGATATCAGATTTGGTGAAATAAATCATTTTTTACTTAGACTTTGTGAAAAAAGAAATTCACCGTTTGAAATGCTCTTAAGTATTTTTATTATTTTAGAAACTTTAATGATTGGCGGTAAGAGTTTGAGTTCAAACCTTCTGGTTATTAAAATTTATTCAATCATTAATTTTAGAGTAATGATTCATCCCCCCTTTTCCCCCACCCCCTTTGACCTCCTCTCTCTCTCATTGGTTACCCTTTTTTTTTCTTTTCTTTTCTTTTTTTTCCTGCTCCTCCAAGCACCACCTGTCACGTGGCAAAGGGGGTGAGGGGGTGACCCCCAAAAGAGGGTCCCAAGCATTATTCTTAATTTTATAACCTTAAAATTAATTGCGATGCACATCAACTGAGCTATATCCAATTATTTTTCTCATGTTGACATATCAATCTCAACAAGAGAAAATTTGAGGGGTTTATGGAGCTTGTTTGAAAAGTTTAGTTTTGGATTTTTTTAGTTAAAATAGTCACAAAAAAATAAAATAGTTTTTTAGTTTAATAGGATAAAATATCACATCTAATTCATAATTATTACTCTTTCTCTCATAAAAAAGTTTGAAAAGCTAAAAAAATTAAAATCCTTCCCAAACGAAACTTTTTAGTCCCAGATTAAAATAGCTAAATGGCTTTTTACCTTCTTACGAATTCATTTCGATAATTCAAATCATTCATTTTATAGAGCTCTCAATATATATTAATCATAAAAAAAATTAATTAGATTTAGTAATTATAACTTTTCATTTTATTGTATTTATTTTTGACAAAATAGACGACAAACATATTTTTAAAATAGATCATTCATTTTTTTTAAACAAATATGATAGAATGAAAAAATTACAATTATCAAATTGATTTAAATTTTTTATAAATAATATATATAAAAAAATTATAAAATCCGGACTAACTCTGAAACCGGTCTTACTCCGAGTTGTCTCTGGACCGGAGTAGCCTTACTCCTCCTTGGGCCGGAGCAACTATCTCTTCTTGAGCCGGAATAAACTCACCTCCTTGGGCCGAAGTAACTTTGTCTCCCCAAGGCCGGAGTAACCTTGCCCTCTAGGC